CTAGTAATGTTGTGGAGTTGTATTTTGTCTCGCATCAATTATATCGTCGGTTATATCGTTATCGCAAATTTTCAAATATATATTGTGATAAATATTTTTGGCCATATCGCCCTGCTCTAGCTCACACCTCATATCAAAGTGTCACAGGCAAGAAAAAGCTCCACTGATCCAACAGTCACAACACTAAGGCATATCTGACATGTTGTGTCACTGTTTCCTGTTGCTTTCTGACTTGGGACACATCAAAACCAGTTGAGACTCCAGTAACAACACTTAAACCCTCACCAAACAGAAACAGAGCGGACCTAAAACGCTGTGCAAATGTGACGCTGCAGCTCACACGGAGCCCCTGAATATGCAGCGGGGGGATATGCTGGCCCCCAGCAGCCGCAGCAACAGACGCTGTAAAGAAGCGCTGAGATTCAGCACCATGGACAGCGGCCAGCAAACTTCACTGCAAACTTTGCCGCTCTCTGCCTAACCCAGTGTTACTGAAACAAAGCATAATGTCCAGTTAACATGAACTTGGGTTGGCCTAAATCTCGATGAAGCTTATTTAATAAAGTTTGAAAACTCACAAGACGGGCGTAAATTCTACTGTCTGTAACACAACATAAGAAATGGGCAACAAAAAGTAACTACAAAAAAGACACCAAATTAAAAGGTACAGCACAGTGTGGTGTAAGAGGAGTTTGGCTGCGCTGTTGCTAGTGTTTTAACTAGCAAGCAGTTTCCTACACATGTAGCTAACCGAACCACGTGTGCACACTCTGGGTAAAATACCCACAAGCAATAATACAGAAAATTAAAATGATGCTCCCTAAACAACTCTAATGATGGTTTTTATTTATTACAAAAAAAACAACCCAAAACTCTATTTTTATGCGCATGTGCTGTGCGGCCTAATATAATACAAAAACAAGTGCTGAGTGTTGATTCACTACGCCATCAATAACAGACTAATTATCAACCACTGGCGGACTAATTATGACCCGTAAAACTGATCTAATCGTATTAGCTACATATTTGGGCTGCTATGCTGCCTATAACATTTTCCCAAACCAGTGGAGCCATGGTATGTAGCCAGGCGCTAGCTAATAAACAGCTGCTCCGGTGTAGTAATAAAGAGCGAGCGGGGTTTAACCGCTTAATTGGCGGCTAATGACACCACACAGCAGCGTGTTGGAAAAAGAAAAACTCACCTAAGACGAAAAAGGGGAGCTCTGTGTTTTCCAGGTCGTCCACCACCACCACGTCCCCGGGAAAATCGTTTCTAACAGAGAACAGAAGCTTGGGCTCAGAGGCCGAGGGACTGTGCATGATGCTCAGGTCGTTTTCTCTTAAAAACGGCAGCGCCGACACGGTGACGCTCTTCATCTTGCACTCGGTGTCCTGGCTCTGGTCCTCATCGCCGTTAAGACATCGGACGTAAACCGCTTGGAGGGCCAGGAGAGCCCACGCCAGCTCCAGCAGCAGCAGCGGTCTCGGCCCCATGTTGATGCTCGCCATATCGCTCCGTTTCCTCTCCCCTCCTCGCTGTTTCTCTCCCAGGCAGCTTCAGTCGCTCAACCCGGCGGACGACAGAGCGCCAGAGAGAGTGAATGGGGGGCGTGCTACACCGGCGGGCTCTCACAGTGTGGGAAACAAGCGCCTCTTCTTTCTCGCATATGATCAATCACAGGATTTTGTTGTACATGTGCTACTCCCGCTGAACACTGATAATGTAGCAGTGTTTTAATGCTGTTGACCCCCTTTGCTGTAATTGATCGACAAACTGTCCAAATGGCTGTAATGGCTACGCAAAGATTACTAACAGCAAACCACCCAGGGTGCCCCGAGGGTCCCATCAGTAAAAGAAACATAATTTGTAATTTAATTGTCTGCTTGCCCTGTCATAGAAACTTGCACATAATCTCCAAGGACACCACAGAGCATCCTTAGAAGCTTGCCTGACCTCAGTGTACATGCATAATTGCCTAATTGATGGTGCAGATGACTGTTAGGAGCGAGTGTCGGTGTCTGCAGTGGCCCAGATATGAAGTACACTTTAGTGAAAAATCTCTCACCAAATTTTAGGAACCTTACAAATAAAATTAAACTATATGTTGTAAATGTTGGCAACCAGTACTGAGTAACGAAGTGCCACAGAGATAACAAGAGAGAGAAAAAAGTGTTTTGAGTGTATACAAATATACAAGTTTTTTCATTATTGCTAATTTTTAAACAGGGCATTTTGAGGAAGTGTGACATAATATATACAATTTTAAGAGTACACTGAAATAAGACTGCATTTGGCACCATTACATTATGTTCTGCTATATCTGGTGAGGTTACATAGAACCCTGAATACTGGTGTTATAAAGGTCAGCACTGAATTTTCATGATAATTGTGCATGTTTTAAAAATAAATAAATAAAATGGAATTGTTTTCAATACTCTGTCAGGTTTAATATGCTTAACATCTATTAGTTCAAGACCTGGCAGGAACCTTTAACGTGCATGTCCACAGTTAGTGGTGTATAAATGGCTAAAATGAGAAAATACAGCTTTTGTAAATGACACACTTTTAACTGACGCATCCCCCCCCCCCGTTTTACACACGTTAAAATTCTGTGAAATTCTCATTATCCATTTCTTTTGCTTCCTGGTACATCACTTTTCTGCCACTTTTGTGAACGAGGAGGGAAAAAACACATGTTTCTGTTCATAAAATGGTGAAATAAAACATAATCAGTCAGTACAGAATTAGGTCCTCATTGTTCTCCATATTTGGCCACTTGTAAGAACAAGTTAGAGCAAACCAGTTAGGTCTTTTGTGATGACAGTTTTAGACCACCGTCAGGGATGTAAGACATGGCAACAGCGGCTATTTTCATGATGTGATGTGTATTTTCAGATTTATGTAGATGAACAGAGGCAGTGCATAAAAATAAAAATGGCTCTGAACCACATTGGACCCTACTAATGTGGGCGACAGGGTACACTGATCTCTTCAGTACTTGCAGGTGCACCACAAAAAGAGAAGCTAGGCATCACTGCAATAAGGCCTAATGGAAATGCACCGAATGGGCACTGTAAGAAACTTAAAATAATTCTGGTCTACAAAACAAAAGAGGTTTTGTTTGCTACTGGGAACCTCAGAGTAGCTCTTTAGCTCTAAGTTGTTGCACTGATTTCTGATACGAAATCAAATTTGAGCTACTCGTTAAGGTTTCTGAGATGCATGTCACTGACGATTTGATACGTTTGAACATCAGTGTAAATATACCAACACAATGTCTGGAACTATTTCCTACCAATATGTTTGTTATATGTTTGTTATTCTGAAAACATACCACAGCATATTGCTGTCAATTTAGCTCAAAATAAAACAAGCATGCTCTAAAATGTTTGAGGCCCTTGCTTTTGCGTTCATGCTGCACATCCGTCTCTCTTTGCAAGAGCAAAGAGTAGTCAGCCATCATGCTCGGATTACATTTTCCCTGATATCTCTTTTCCATCACTATTATATCTTGATGAAATCTTTCCTCATGCTGGTCGCTGACATCGATCAGGTTCAATGGGGATAAAAGTCGAGGTGAGAATGTAAAAAGTGCATCTTCAGTGACATTCTGGTGCCCATTAACTGATACGCTTTCAGCACATTATCTACAAGCTCAGCATAATCCTCTGTGATTGCCCAGAAAATTGTGGACATCCTGCACGAACGCTTCCCAAGCTGCTGTTTCAGTTGGCTTCCGTTTTCTTTTGAAGTCAACAACAAATACACCTTCCTTAAATTTTGCGTTCACTTTAGATGCTGAAATGCATTGCAGTTACTGTCGTTCATTCTATTTTTCCAAGTAAGCCATTACTGACACATGGGGTACAGCTCGGACTGGTCAACCAGTCAATCACAGGGCTAACACAGAGAGACAGACACTGATTGCATTATCCTAATAAAGCCTATGTACAATCAAACCTATAATAGTAATGAAAACATTATTATTATAGACTTCACTTAAAGATAGCTACTTTCCAGTTAGTGATAACATCAAAGGTGCTTGTATGGGTATTAGAGTTTCAGCTATTTAGAATTTTATTTTCACAAAGAAATTAACAACAAATAATACACAGGAATACTCCAGTTGCACTCAGACTAAAATTTCCAGAGGGGCTTTCCGACTCTAAATCCCTTGACTGTTTTGTTGACCAGACAATTGCCACTGGGATTTGGATATAAAGCCCGTAGGAAAAGAAGATTGCGTTTTCTGTGTCACCACTGTCCATCCATTTAATATTTAAGCAGCTCTGTGGTCTCCAGCGAAGTGTCAGTTCGCTCTGTCTCTTCCTGTCCTCATCAGAAACAGTCTGAAAATCCAAAATAGGGCAATATTTGGGATCGAAGCTAAAAATAAAAAGCGGGGAAGTAGATTGGCCTCGGCCACCCGCAGTGAAATATTAAAAGGTTAGCAGAGATCGAGGAGAATAACTGGACTAAATCGCATAAATGTGCATTAATTATTGATCGTGGGCTCATGGTTTCTCAAGACACTGTTAAAGAAAATCCATCAGTATTCAAACAATATTGAATTTTATGTGAAGGTTTCACTTCTGGATATGTGTGCACTTGAGTGCAGAGTGAAACTTTTCTAGTACATTTCTTTAAGGGTCAAATGAAACTTTTAAAACAATCGTTTGGAAAGTATACACTGTGTCAGCATTCAAGTAATTATTTTTCCTGTTCTGTAAAATAAAAAGAAATAAAATCAAGAAATCACACAAAAAGACAGATTTTAGTCATTAAAACCAGACTGTTTTACTGGATTTGTTACATGATATTTTGTTGTTTATGTTGAAGCAATCGTGGATTCACTGTCCTGCTGCTGCAAATGATCTGTAAACCACCAAATCCACAATCAATAAAGAGTCTTCAACAAATATATTTTAATACATCTTTTAAGAATTAAATCCACAAACCAACAACAAAAAAAATCACATGCACATCCTAAAAAAATGAACAATGAACAAATCTGAAAATGCACATTTACATGTATTGCTTTTTAAAACATACAGCTATGTGCAATGAAGTATGAAGTAAATTTATGAAGTGCTGCACTAACGTGTACTATATGTGACATTCATGTGTGAAACTGTAGGATGGTTTGGTGGTGGATTCGATCACATGGCTAATCGATAGATTTAATTTAGACTGCTACATTAATCTGTTGTGTGTAGGTGTCCAGTCCGACGCTAATAACATGAAATGAAATATCAAGGATGATCAACCGTGTTAGCTCCAATATCAAATGTTTTACTCTGCAGATCTGTAACAAACCTGAGCTGTTGGCCAAAACGTGTCTTTCCATCAGATTCATCACCAAAGGAAAATGATTGTAATTATACATTTTACGACAGGTTACTTTGCTCCTAAACACACAAACAAACAATTTTGTTACTTGACTCACCAAAAATTGCAAGCTATGTTTTTGACCTATTAAATACACCTTTTCCCCCTCTTTTCCTTTTTTTTTAACTTACTGAATTCAAAATATTGACAAAATCAATTAAAAGGCATATAAGAACAGTTGTGTAAAATTCTGTTGGATCTCCATTAACACATGCAGGATTGTTAGCCATTGGGATGGTCTTTATTTACCCTCCACCAAGTGTTTTAGTTGCAGCAACCCTTTCTCTGCCCCTCTGAAACCTTCTTATTTGGAGAGAAAACATAAATCTTTGATGACATTGGCACAAAATCCTCCTATTCTGTCTCCAATTGAAGCAAATGAGCTTGGATTGGCACAGGATGTTATGAGAAAGACTCGGGAAAAGTGGTAACACAATTTTGGGATTTCCACAGAATTCTGAGCCAGCAAGAAAATAGAAAATTGCCTCCCTTTGTTTATTTTTAACATCCTGAAAGAGCTTTGCTTTCAGAAAAAAATGCCCTTCAACCAGAGGCTAAAGCAGTGTCGCCAAACATCCACCCTTCAGCGGCGTCCTTGATTGTTAACCTGCACTGTTCTGCACCTTAACGTGGACTTCTGATCTTTCTGTTTGAAGTGCAGAGAGTTTCCCCACAGGAATCCATAAAAGAGCATTCTGTTTCTCTCCTGTTACTTTAGAGACATTTAGCATCCATTTAGTCATGAAGCTACGCCAAGCAACTCACCAAAAAACTTCTTTAATTCAGTCCCGAAGATTGTAACGTCATCTCTCGCTGTGCAATTTGGAAAAACGTCTTTCTCATTTATCACAGAGTGATAAACAGAGGAAATGAGTGAGCAGCTTGAGTCTAGTCTGGATTATGTACAGTCCCAGCATTTGTGATTAAAGTGTCGAGGGAAAGAATAACAAAATAGGTTTGTGCGAATGTGTGTGTGTGTCTGTGCAGATAGTGAGTGGGACACCATAGAACCTATGTATGTGCAAGTGTGCAAGTGAAAGTGATTGCAAGCCAGGCAGAGATGAAATTCCGATAGATTTGCTCGCATGAGTTCTGGGTCGCAGTCGATAATCAAAAGCAAGGAAAAAGATGGAGGGTGGAGGAAGACCGGGGGAAGAAGAAAGACAGTCAGTGAAAGTTGAGAGGGAGAAAGAGAGAGCGAGAGTGGGAAGGGAAGCAGCGAGCACATACATCAGGGGCTGAGACTAGCAGGTGCAGGGATGGCGGGGAGGACAGACCGGGGGCCT